GCGTTTGTTTTTTGCACGTAGATTTTTTAATATTAGTATTATATTGGATTGTAGTAAAAAAGACAAAAATACCCCTATTAGTATGGTGTAATATAAAAGTAATGACATTTGTGTAATATATTGTAAGTTGAAAGAATATTTATGATGTGAAGTAGGTAGTACAATTACTAATTAGGAAATGGTAACCTTGTTCTGGGACAGACAAAAATAGAAAATAGTAATCTTTCAATGGGACGGATAGAGTATTATTTTCAATTTAATTTAATTTTTTTTTTAGCTTTCTATGTTTAATGTTTTTTTTTTAATAAAATGTATGAAATTTTTTTAAAATAAGTAAAGAAAGTAAAAATTAAATTAAACTATATTCAAAATTTAAAAAAGGATACCAAAAATAAAAGAAACAGAAATCGTAGAAGTCGGAGATAGTAATTATTAGGAGGACAGTTGCCTGTTGGTGAATGTAAGAATATGCAATATTTATATATTTGTGAAATAATGAACGACGAAGAAGAATGAAGAATGTTCTTTCCATTTTTGAGTAAAAGAAAACAAAGCATATACCATATTCATCCCGATCATATTTACTGGATATTTGAATATTAATTATTATATTAAAATATAATAAAAATTAAGAAAAAATTGAAAAAATATTTCAATTAGTGTCTTGTAATACTGATAAAATATATTTGTATAAAAAATTATACAAATATAAATGGAAAAGATAATTATCACTAAAAAGATAATAATAATAATAATAATAATCAAATTAAAATAAAGTTTGATGCGTGAATAATCAATATATAGAAGAGACAAAAGAATGAAGGTAATAATGCATGCATTTCCGCACGTGCTGGATATGGTAACCCATTACTCATCCAACCATAAATTAAACATTTATTTATTATTAATAAATTATGCCTCCAATCGGAATCCAATGGACAATTAACCTAAACCATCATTTAATTTATCTCGAAGATTTAACGGGATTTTTTATTTTTATTTTTATTCTTTTGGTTAAAACATACATTTTAATCTTCATTTTTTTTTTTTTTTATATAGAAAATTTTCGAATCTCAAAACAAATATATATATATATATATAATAGCACCCCTAACTCATTCACTTGGCAGATAAATACTTGGGATGTGTTTGTTTGAGTTTGTACTCGTTTGATTATTTTAATTGTTACCGTCCGTTTAATTTGTGTTTTTCAAGAAAAAAAAGGTTTCGAGTATTAGCGGCAATCAAAATGAAACGGAACCAAACACACCACATATTTGTCTATTTGTTTCACACTAAAGTTGTATTTGGTACAGATAAATGAGACCAGAGAAATGGAAATTGTATCATTTCTCTTGTTTGTTTGAGTTAGAGAAATGAAACTTTGAGAAATAAATCATTTCTATTTTTCTGTTTTCATGAAATGATGTTGCAGCACATGTATTTTCTTTAATTTGTAAATTTTTTTATACTATTTAATTTTTATAATTTTTTAAAAATTATATTATTTTAATACAAAAAACAAACTTAATTTATTTTTAAAGTATTTAATTTTTACGATATTTTAAGAAATTGTACTAAAATATAATCTTAAAAAACATCTTATATAATTTTAATTTTTTTTAAAAAAAATTACTAAATTTTTATTCGTTAAAACTCTTTTTTTATCGGGTTAATCATTTATTTTTGTTTGATTATTCATATATCTGCATTTTTGCTTTAAATTTCTCAAATGAATTCTCTTTATACTAAACGCCCCTAACAACTCGTGTCGCTATTGGGCTTCTATATATATAAAACTATTTTTATATAATTCTTTCAAATATTTTCCAATAACAATAAATCTTCATATAAAAACATTTAATTAACCATTTTTTTTTTCAAATCTTTTTAAAAATAGATTTACTTAATAATTTTTTCTTTTTATCTCCTTTTAAATAAACAAATATATTTGTATATATATAACTTTTTCTCTTTTATATACTAATTTATGTTAATTATATTTTATCAAAATTTTATTTGGTACAACATAATAGTCTTTAAAATATTTTAAAATTTATCTTTAATAAAATATATATTACATATTAATTTAACTTATAATCAAATAACACTTTAAATTTAACTACACCTCTCAACTTTGCAACCAAATAATTTTAGTGTGACTTGCCTGTTGGGCCTAGTTTAAAGAGTATTAGCTTCGGCCAGAGGTTTATTCAGTGCGTACTTTCGAATAGCAGTTACGGGTTTTCACATCATACAAAAAAAAAATGAAAAATGAAAATATCTTTGTTTGTATTTTTGTCAAACTCTTTGTAAATCAAGCGGTGAGACATCCCTCGCTTGAGGGTTGGGTCCTAGGTGGGTGCGTGTGTGCACCTTTATTTCTTTACATTTGATGAGCTTCCAAACAAGTGTGTTTACTTAGGGTTTGTGACCCAATCATTTTTTTTTTCTTTTTTGAATGCTTTCTCATATCTCATGTAAAAAAAAAAAAAGAAAAAAACTAAAAATAAAAATACCTCCAATTAAAAATACAAAACAAACAACCCTAGTTTGAATTTGTTTATTGTTTCTTTAATGGAGTAGTATTTTGTAAGAAAAATAATACTCCCTCAAACCCGGCGATGATGAACTCTTTTGTTAGGACGGTAGCGTACATTATTAAATTATTAATAATAAATTATAATATTATTTTATTATTTTTTATATGTGGAGTATTGTTGGTATTTTAAGTATTTTTAAAATTATATCTCAATAAAATATGGGCAATATAGTTATTATTTTGTAGATAATAAAATTTTATATAATACAAATAAATAAAAATATATTTATTTATTTATTTATACTCAACTTAAAACTGTTTTTATAAAAAACGAGAAGTTTTAAATATAAATAAAAATATTTTTTCATATAAATAAAGGGGTTTTGAATTAACCTTAAGTATAAAAAGTTAGAAATTTTATTAAATTGATTTATATTTATTAAATATGTTTAAAATAAATAAATTTACTAAAAAAATATAAATGAACCGTTTCTTATAAACCCGACAAAAAATGAAGAATAGTCATCTATAGCGAGACTTTGAGAGTATAGTTTAATGCAAAGTCGCATTTATATAATAATACCACTAAACAGACGCAAAACTTCAATTGAACAATTTCATTTTTTTTCTATATTATTAACAAAATAATAATAATAATAATAATAATAAGACAAATTAATTTAAAACAACTCAAATGCGACTATTATAAATGTCATGTTGAGAGTACTAATGCAAAATATGAACCGCGAGAATATAATATATTATTCAAATTGTATGTTGATATTCTATATACTATCCTTTATATTCTTCAACTCAAATTAAAGAGAATGGAAATTGGGCATTAAGCTATGTTCATATAGACAATTTTTAGAACTTTTAATACTATTTATTTATTATATTTGTATATTTGTTTGATATAGTCCCAACTGTCAACCTTTTACTGCTATTAAAAATAAATTCTCATTGTACATTAATTTAATTTTTGAAATCGAGAATTACAGAAGCTTTCTTTCATCTCCTTTCTTCTCTCTCTGTTTCATCGAGATGGTATCAGAGCAATATCTTCAAATATATCTAAATTCCAAGATGGATTTTATTTTGCAAAATTGATTGATTTTGCAATTCCTCTCTGATATGGCACATCAAAACAATTTGGATTTCAACACAAAGCCGTCGAATCCTTATTTTCTTCATCCGAGCGAGAATCCAGCCCTAATTCTCGTAACTTGACACCCAAAATCAGAATATTATAAGAAAAAAAACTTTACTGTCACTAGGAATCTCTGTGACCTAATAGACCACCGCCTATGCCCCATTAATTATCCCAACTTCTGCATCATTAGTGGCTTTACCCTTCTGTTACCTCATTTTAATCAAAATTGAATTCAGAACAGTAGTTAAGCAGGTCGACAAGGCTCCCGCGTACTTAACTACATTGAACTACCTTGAAACCGCTTCTGGCGCATAACAAGGCTCAGATAATCAATTCTTCTCATGCTCTAAACTAGTCAAATGAAGTTCTCTAATTTCCAACTTTATATAAGTATGTAAAAACTGTGAAAGAAATGAGGATGAAGAACTGAATGATATTTCATTATTTACTACGAAAGCAGGGAAAGACTGGAACTACAAAGCTGTAAAAGAAAGCAGTAATCTAATATACGAAAACGGTAAAGACTTGGCCAAGGGAGAAGGGAAATACTCCCTTGGCCATTCATGTGGAGAACTCTCTTACAGGGTTGGAGCTCTCGGAGATAGGAAGACAACTGAAATGCAGTAATTGCTAGAAGTACTCTAAAAATCAAAGTATCAATCTCTTTTTTTTTTTTTTACATAAAGATATCTGGCCCTATTTATAACAGGTGAAACGGGACGGTTGCAATCAGTTGCTGGGCGGTTCCAACCGCTGGGCAGTTAGGCGATTACTGGTAGTTATTCTGTTGAAGCAGTTGCTGGCCATAACTCTCAGGGCGCTTGCTTTGATTGCATTGAATTTCAAGGGCTTAGATCTTCCTCGCTTGCCGGAGAGCTGGAGGGCATCAGCGCAGCTAGGCTCGCTTGTGCTGGCTGGAAATGAAATTGTTGTACCGCTGCAGTTGGAACATTTAGTTGGAATCTGGTGATAATCTACAGCGGTGGATGTCTAGACTGTCGCTTGCAAAGGGGAGAGGCTGTCGCTTGCGGGTGGTGAAAGCTACCGCTTGCCTCTCATGCTTTAGTCCTTGCCAAGAGATAACTTGGGCGCTTGCGAGCGGAGGTGGCTATCGCTTGTGGCGCCTGCCTTAGCCTTTGTGGCACCAGACTACCGCTTAAAAAGGGCAAAAATCGTTAATAATCTCAACAACGAACTCTGGATCATGCCAAGTGATATAGATCAATAATGTATGCCATTAATGGGTTATTATGATGGTTTTTATACAGAAATTCGAGTAATACACAGTTTTGCCAAGCTAAGAATATGCTCATATTTGGAGTCATCATAACTCCTCTTCTCAATGGTAGAAACTATCATTCTTGGGCACGATCGATGAAACTTGTGTTGCGATCGAAGAATAAAATAGGCTTTGTTGACGGAACCCTAACCGAACCAGTAACTACTAGTCCTCTTCATGAAGCATGGTTGAGGTGCAACACCATGGCTCTCTCGTGGATTCAACACTCTGTTAGACATTCAATCGTAAAATCTATTATGTGGATTGATCACGCTGCTCAAGTGTGGAAGGATCTTTATGATCGATTCTCACAGGGCGATATATTCAGAATTGCAGAATTGCAAAAAGACTTCTATAAATTGAGTCAAGGTAACTCTTCAATCTCTGAATTTTTTTACTCAATTGAAAGCTATTTGGGAAGAAATTGAGAATTTCAGACCTATTCAAGAATGCAAATGCGCAAGTCCTTGCTTTTGTGGTGCGACTCAAATTATGAAAACTTATAGAGATCAAGATTATGTGATTCGATTTCTTAAAGGTCTAAATGATCAATATGCTCAAGTCAGATCCCAAATTATGCTACATGATCCTTTGCCTAGTATAAACAAGGTTTTCTCTATGCTTATTCTACAAGAAAGACAGTTGAGTGCATTGTCGATTAATGACATCAATTCTGATCCTAAGGCTTTTGCTTTGAACTCTAATCAAAGATCACATAATAGAATGAATTCTAGCTATGGAGGTTCCCAGGAAAGAGGAAATTCTTCAGGTGGAAGGATAAAGGTCGATATCAAGGGACAACTAAAGGAAACAGATTCTGCACTCAATGTAAACGAAATAATAACATAGTGGACATTTGTTTTGTTAAGCATGGATATCCACCTGGTTATTTTTTTAGCACCTCTAAAATGGCTAGCAATGTTTTTGGTTTCCCTCTCGACAATCCATGTTTTGAGCCAACTGAAAATATTTTCTCTTCTCAAGATATGGCTAAACAGGGAATGGTTTTTACTCCAGAACAGGTTCAAGGTATCCTTGAACTGTTACAGCACTCTAAACCAGCTACTGATTCTCATACTGTTAATGCTGCAGTAAATACAACAATTCCTACTTCTGTTCAAGGTATGAAATCTTCGCAATGGGTTCTTGATATAGGTGCCACAAATCATATTACATTTGGTCTATCGAATTTTTCTACTCATAGAAAAATTTCTACTATTCTTATTACACTGCCAAATGGAGAGAAAGTTTCCACTTCTATATCTGGAACAGTGCAGTTATCTCCTTCTTTGACTCTGCATAATGTTCTTTTTGTGCATCAATTCCACATAAACCTTGTGTCTGTCAATAAATTGATTAAGTCCTTGAATTGTCATGTAATCTTTTTTAACCATTTTTGTGTTATTATGCAGAATTCTACCAAGAAGATGATTGGTTCAGCTAGTCTGCAACGAGGATTGTTTGTGATAAGTCTACCTCAACTCTATACCTTTATTAATAATGTGTCCATCACCGATCTTCATGTAAACACCTTATGGCACTTATGGTTAGGCCACTTATCTCCTTAAGTTACTATAATTCTCTCTAAGCAGTACTCATATATTTCCTTTTGTTCTTCTTTTGATCTCTCTCCGTGTGATATATGTCATTATGCCTGACAAAGAAAATTGTCATATTGTACTAGTGCTACAAAATCCAATAAACCCTTTGAATTACTTAATGTTGATATATGAGGCTCTTATTCAGTTACTTCTATTTTTGGACACAAATATTTTTTGACTTTTGTTGATGATTTCTTTAGATTCACTTGGATTATTCTTTTGAAAACAAAATCAGAAGTCAAGCAACATCTTATTAATTTTGTATCATTTGTTAAAACCCAATTCAATACCAAGTTGAAATCTATTAGAAGTGATAATGGTCCAGAGTTCTTGATATCTGAATTTTTTAATTCCAAAGGCATCATACATCAAAGGACTTGTGTTGAAACTCCTCAACAAAATGCTAAAGTTGAAAGGAAGCATCAACATATTTTAAATGTTGCACGGGCTTTATTTTTTCAAGCCAACTTGCCTTCCAACTTTTGGAACTTCTCTATCCGTCATGTTGTTCCTATCATCAATCGATTGTCTTCCCCATTACTCAATAATCTGAGCCCTTATGAATTTCTTTACAAACAACCACCAGTTTTTACTCATTTTAAAGTAGGGGTGAGCATTCGGATTTTTGAAAATCTGAAATTTTTGAAAAAATCAATTCGAACCGAACCGAAATAACCGAAATTCGAAAATCCAAAATTCAAACTAAAAAATCCGAACCAAACCGAAAAATCCGAAATTTTAAATAGTTTTAATTATTTTTTTAATTTCTAAATTTCTTTTATAATTTATTATTATTTTATAATATTAAATATATATAATATATAAAAGTAAATATATTAAAATATAATTAATAATTTTGAGTTTTTTATATTAAAATATAATATTTTTAATAAAATATTAAATATATATAATAATAAAATATATTAAAATGTTATATTTCGGATTTCAGATTGGTTCGGATTTTAAGTATACCGATCCGAAAATTCAAAATTTGTCAAAAATTCAATCCGAACCAATCCGAAAAATCCAAAAAATCCGAACCAAATTTTAAATTTCGGTTTGGTTTGGATTGAATTTTCGGATTTCGGATATTTTGCTCACCCTTATTTTAAAGTGTTTGGTTGTTTGGCTTATGCTAGTACTCTACTTTGTCATAGGACTAAATTTGAGAAAATGGCTTATAACACTGTCTTTATGGGTTTTAGAAATGGAACCAAATGGTATGTTCTTTATGATTTGCATAGTCATCAGTTTGTTGTCTCTCGGAATGTGTTATTCTATGAAAATGTCTTTTCATTCCATACCACTCCCATTCCTACTCCTGATAATATTGTTTTAGCAAATTCCACACCCACACCTACTTACTCCTCATATTTCTCCTCTAGAACCCATTGATCAATTCCCTTTATCTCCATCTCATTCTCATGTTTCTTCTTCACCTTCCCATCCTTCTTCTAGTCCTGTTGATAATCCTCCTGTCTCAAAATCCTCTGATGTTCTACTTGTTGAACCTGATATCCTACTAGGCAAGGAAAACCTCCATCTCATTTAGCTGATTATCACTGCAACCTTGCTTCCACGTCAGCTAGCTAACCAACTTCATCTTCAGGTATTTTGTATTCCATTTCTTCTATGTTTCACTATGATAATCTTTCACCATCTTACAAACATTTTTGTTTAAATATCACCTCCATTTATGAATCTATCTCTTATAAACAAGCTTTTGAGTTTGATTGTTGGCAGACAGCTATGCAAATAGAATTGCAGGCACTTGAACATAATGCAACCTGGTCTATTGTTGATTTACCTCTTGGAAAGGTTCCTATTGGATAAAAATGGGTGTACAAGATCAAATATAAAATTCATGGAACCATAGAGGTATAAATCTAGACTCGTTGCAAAACGTTATACACAAATGGAAGGTGTGGACTACTTTGATACATTCTCACCGGTTGTTAAAATTACTACAGTACGGGTAATTCTTGCATTGGCTGCATCTCAAAATTGGTTTTTGGAACAACTAGATGTCAATAATGCTTTTCTCCATGGCATTTTGCATGAAGAGATTTATATGCTGCCACCTCCTGGTTTACTTGATTCATCGTCTAAAAAAGTGTGTAAACTGAATAAGTCTCTCTATGGCTTGAAGCAAGCAATTAGGGAATGGCATGCTACTTTGTCATCTGCCCTGATTCTATTGATTATACTCAATCTTCTGCTGATCATGCCTTATTTTTTAAGTTTATTGGTTCTTCTTTCACAACCCTTTTAGTCTATGTCGATGACATAGTCCTGGCTGGCAATAATATGCAGGAAATTACTCATGTGAAACAGTTCATTGATCAACAATTTAAGATCAAGGACCTCGGTCGTCTTCGATTTTTTCTTAGGTTGGAGATTGCCCGGTCTAAATCTGGTATTCATTTGAATCAATGAAAGTATTGTTTGGATTTGTTAGAAGATTCAAGATCCCTTGCTGCTAAGCCTGTTAAAACCCCTTTTGATCCTTCCGTTAAACTGCAATCTGATGTAGGGGTTCCATTTCCTAATGTAGCATGTTACAGACGATTGGTTGGCAGGCTTTTGTATCTTTTGATATGTAGACCTGATATTTCTTATGTTGTACAACAACTTAGTCAATATCTTAGCACTCTAACATACATTCATTATAAGGCTGCTCCAAGGGTTCTTCACTATTTGAAGACTTTGCCTGCTCAAGGGTTATTTTTTTCATCTGATTCACCTATGAAACTATCTGATTTTGCTAAGTCTGATTGGGCATGCTGTCTTGAAACCAGAAAGTCCTTCACCGGTTATTGTGTTTTTCTAGGTTCTTCCCTCATTTGTTGGAAGAGTAAAAAGCAGAACATTGTTTCCCAATCTTCTTCAGAAGCAGAATATCGTGCATTAACCAGCTTGTCGTGTGAAATTCAATGGCTTTAGTATCTTGCGCATCCAGCTTCCAGGCCCTGCTTCAGTTTACTGTGACAACCAATCTGCTATCTATATTGCTCACAATCCCGTATTTCATGAACGTACAAAACACATTGAAATCGATTGTTATGTTACACGTGAGAAGATTCAGCAAGGCCTGCTTAATCTCGTACCGGTTTCTTTTGCTGCCTAGTTAGCTGATGTTTTTACTAAATCTATGCACGTTACTTCATTTCAAAGATTTCTCTCTAAGCTTGGACTATGTGATCTCCATCGTCCACCTTGAGGGGGATATTATATTTGTATATTTGTTTGATATAGTGCCAGCTGTCAACCTTTACTGCTATTAAAAATAAATTCTCATTGTACATGAATTCAATTTTTGAAATCGAAAATTACATAAGCTTTCTTTCCTCTCGTTTCTTCTCTCTGTTTCATCAAGATTATTAGTAGTATTTTCAAAAAATATATCATATTAATTTATTTATTTTTTTCATACAAAAAATATCATATCTAATAATTTATTTATTATTTCAATTTCAAAACTTGTATCTAAATAGTAAAATTTAATAAATGGTAGACATTTATGTATATTGAAATGTATCACATGTAAGAAGATGCATGAATGGTGAAAAGAAGACAAACCGCCTTCGATCTAATTAACATAAAACGCCTTTTTATTCATTTGGCCATCCCACCGACGCCACAAACAAATCTAAATACACTATTTTGCTTATGCCACACAGATTGAATTGACAAATACATTAAAATTAAATTTCTTTCAAAATATTTTTCTTTTAAAAAAAAAAATCTTGAATTTGTTCACTTACAAAGTGTTTGGTACAAAAAATCGATGGCAGGAAAATAAAAATAAATGTATTTTTCTTATTTATTTGCCATTTGATATTTTTTATTTTCTGACTTTCCATTCTTTTGATACACAAAAAAGATATAAAGAATTGAATGATGCGAATTGTGAGAGAAAGGAAAAATATATCCTTTTATCACATTATTTTCTTTTAACTGGACTATGTACCTAATATTACAAATACCTTTACAACTTACAATATATTAAACAAGTATCATTACATTTATATCACACATACTAATAAGATTATTTTAGTTATTTCTACTTTATTCCTACTATATTCCAATATAATACTAATATTTCTAAACTATGTGCAAAAAATAAATGAATATTTACTTATGGGACGGAGGGAGTAGAGTTTTATTATTATTATTATTATTATTATTATTATTATTATTATTATTATTATTATTATTATTATTATTATTCGGTATATTTTAAATTAT